CGCGCCGCCATTGAAGGAATCGAGGAAGGCCTCGTCTGCGCCGCGGCGCACGCGGCCGGTTGCGTCGTAGTGGGCGCGCTGGGGGGTGGAGGGAGGGGGGGAGGGGGGTTCATACGCGCGCATCCGTCGTGGGGTGTGGGGTCGCTGTGGTGGAAGCCAGATCGGGATGGGGTCCGACCATGACGGTGACGGCATGTGGCGCTTGCAGTGCATTTGTGCGGGGCGGGCCGGCGAGGTTGAGGGGCGGGGCGACACGTGTGTGTTGTGGGGCGGCGCAGCCCGAGGGTGCGGCAGTGCGGGAGCGGGGCGCGGGCGGGGCGTGTGCGGCCGCTGAGCTCAGCGCTGCGCGGTGTGTAGCTAGCCGCACCTGCCCACCTCGCAAATCCAACCGTACGCCAAAGTTTCAAAAACCCGCACTCTCAAAATCCTGTCCTGTCCAGCAACGCAAATCCATGCAATTCCAGTTCTGAGACTGCCTCCCCCTTCTTGACACACGTGTGTTCATTCTCCAAGGCACGGCGGCTTGCGCACTGGCAGTACAGTAGTGGGGGTGTGCGCAGCGCCGGCACCTTATCTGGGTCGCTCAGCACGTCGTGGGCGCGCGTGACCGCCGCAAACAGCGCCGCGTCGCCGCCCTTGTCCGGGTGCGCCCTCGTGCGCAGCGTCTTGTAGGCGCGGCGGATCTGCGGCCAGCGGGCCGCGCGGGTGCAAACGTGGTGGTCGGGCGCGGTGAAGCGGGTGCAGCGAACTCGCGGTGATGGAGGGAGGGGGCCCGAGGGGAAGGCGGCAGGGCTTGTCGGTTGCTGCCTCGGAGGCGCGCGGTGCGAGCGAGCCGCACGGGCGCAGGTGCGCAGGGGGCGCGGCGCGGCGGCGCGGCGGCTGGGGGATGCGCGTTGGTTTACGCACCTCATGGGCAGACGCGCTTTTGGGGACGCCCAGGATCGCATAAAGATCTTCGTGGTCGGGCGGCGCCATGGCTGGGCCGCTGTCGCTGCCTTGGCTGAGTTGTTAATCGTCTGTGCTGGACTGCGGAAGTGTTGATATGGAGTTGTACACTGTCGCTTGTGGTCGAGGCTTGCACGCCGGGATGGCCTCGGTTGAAAGTCGTTCGATCTCCGAGGCAACCGTTTACTCTCAACACGCAACTACAATAAAATCTCATGCACCACAAACCACGATGCAACGCTTATGCACCGCCAACAAGGTGTGGCGACCTAATGTACGCCGCTTGAGTTGCCAGTGCTGATGCGCGTCAATGCAAGCACTTGCAAACCGCCACCTGCATGTGCTGATTCAAAGGATCAGTCAAACATTCCCGTGTCTTCCAGCCCCTCCACCGTCCCTTTGATCGCGCGCGCCAGCGCCGGATGGCTCGGCTTGAAGGCAGCCGCCAGCGAGGTGAGCGCCTGCGCGGCCGCCTCGCGCACGCGGTAGAACGCCTCTGGCGACGCCGGCCCGCACCCGCAGCCCGGGGGAAACAGCGCGCGCGCCGCGGCCGCCGCGGTGCGGCCGCTGCCGTCGGCGGAGCGCGGGGCGCCGCCGCCGCCGCTGCCGGCGTTGCTGCTTGCGCGCTGCACGGCGACAAGCGGCGGCGCCAAGCCGGGTTTCAGGCTTTCACTGATGGAGTAGAGGGTTGCAGAGAACTCCTGAGGGGGGTCAAATGTTTGCAGGGTGGGCTCTCTCGCGCCAAACAAGTCATGGCGCCGTCTGCTGCATTGACAAGGCCGCAGCTGCTGCAGTGAGATCCTTAAGCATGGCCCGAATTCGGCAGTCAGCTCAAGCCGCATCGGTTTGGCTGATGGCATTGAACATCAGCTGCGGCCCTGGCGACAGGCAGTTTCTTTTGGTGTCTGTGTGTGGGGCGCTGCCCCCCCCTCCCCCCCCCCCCAAC